TAATTGATAACAATTAGGTCTCTTACAAAGCCGCAGTCATGCTCTTTTATACTGAAACGTACCTTACAATCACAGGTACAACCCCTTCAAAATCTCAAAAGTTCAACGATATGCGCTTGATTATAAATTATAATATTTTATACACATGTAGCTACTGTCCCTACTATTTTGAAAAGTGCTGGGAGCAAGCTGTGCGCTGTTTATTTTTTCCGTAATTTTACATTTTTTAAATGCGTATAGTGTAAATGCACGTAGTTTATCAAAATTCGGCTAAATTTTATATAATTCCCGGGCATGGAGAAGTTGCTCCCAGCACTTTTCGGGTTAAAAATTTTGTCTTAAAGAAACACAATCAATTACTTGGTGAAAAATTTTCCGTATATCGTTGAACTTTTACGATCTTTGTATCCATACATATTTGTTCTAATTTTAAACATGTCACTGACAAACAGCTGATGTACGTGAAGTCGCGTTGGCCGAACTCGGTTGAGACCCCATACATACATGTGCATTAGTTTAATTCCCATTAAATTCAAACTCATGCTAATAAAAATATATCAACATTATATTGATTTTTTCGGAATAGTTTAAGGCATATTTCCTATGGGCGGCCTTAACCTAGCTGCGAAAGTTAAATGATCATAGGTCTGAAAGTATGTAAAATATGCCTTTAAAACAATTTGAATATAAATGCCTTCAGAATTCAAAAAGTAGGTCACAGTGACCTAATTTTGACATAATTTTCCATAAATATGTTTAAGATCCCAAGATGCATCAACTTACTAAATTTCATTATTCTAAACCTCGCAATGTCTGAAATAATGTGATTAAATGTTAGAAACGATATGACAAATTTCAAAAAGTAGGTCACGGTGACCTACTTTTAAGTTTACCTTGTTCGAGGACCCAAGATGCATCAACTGACAAAGTTTGATGATCATCAACCTTAAAGTGTCTAAAATTTGCCCCCAAATCAATTTAAATAATCTATTCTTTTGAATTTGAAATCAAACGTCCGCAAAATTAAAAAAAGTAAAACACCGTGACCTACTTTTGAGTTAATGATGTGAAGTCCTAAGATGCATCAACTTCCAAGATTTAATGATTCTATTCATTATAGTAAGCAAAATATATTAAGTGTAAATTTGGTCATCTTTGAAGTGACCCTGAGACCAGGCCCTTTGCCCCAGAGTAATTCCCCGTGCAAATTTTAATTTCAATTTTCAATATATCCTGATCCTTGTATGTATGTTTTGTGAAAATCTGTCTGGTGGTTCTTGTGCAGAAGATTTTTTAGTAACCAGTACTTTTGGTTTTATATTCCTGATAATCTCCCCTTCTTTAAGGGTTCCAACCCTAGTTTTAGTATAAATGGTAGGCCTTGGGCAAAGGATTATACCCTGTAACAAATTTGACATTGATTGGCTAAAGAGTTCTTGAGTTTTGGCCAATATTCTAAAAAGTTTACGCACATCGCAAAAATTTCCAAAGCATTAGCGCTTTGAGCCTTTGACTCAGAAGAGCTAAAAATACCGAATTCAAGACTGTTTTCAAAGAAATCCTGACACCATATTTTTATTCCTCTTGCCCTGTCAACAAATGTGTTAAAATGTTCTGGAAAGAAATTTTTTCTTAAAAATTACTAAACACCGATTCAATAATATTACTCTGAGTCGGGAGAGGATAAGCATTCTATGCATTCTAAAGACGGCCTAAAATACAGAAATTTTACATGGATTCTCTTTGAATTTGTTCACGAATGTTGTTGTACACGAGTCCCAGCAACTGATCCACGATATGAACCACACCGTTAGACATCGTTATATTACCCTCCATAATTGCCGTCCCCGAACCACCACTGTAAACATATACTGAAATCAAACAAAAGTCATAATTAAGAGAACCGGGGCGTTGTGTCCATTTTTAAATTATTTTGGTCTCCTTTAGAAGAAGAGCTTCAAATCAAGATATTCAAAAATGATCGAATTTCAAAACTTAAATAAGATGTATATTAAAATTTTTCGTTGACAAATGATAATTGACAGCTTAAGATATCATATCTAGAAAATGGAAGTTTTATCTGATGGTTAATTTGTTGACCCCCCCCCCCAAGCCCCCTTCAGGAAGGTAAACGATAGCGGTAGATAAAGGAATTAAAATTGATATGAAATAAAGAATAAAACCACACAAAATGGATATAATTTTTAATAAATCACAATCTTATATCACAATCAAATATCTTATTTAACATTTATCCATTACACGTTGACAAAATGTTGAGTTTTGATTTTTGAATAGTGATCTGCAGGCGAAATCCTGATAATTATGTTAATGAAATAATAGCATTAATGTAATCTTTTATATATATCAAGAAGTTTATAAATAGCACTCTTTTTGAACTTTTCATTACAAAAAAAAAAATCATTCAAAATACGAAAACAGACTAAGTTTTTAGTAAAAGGTATCCTGATTATTTGTCAAGGGGAAGGATTTATTTTCAAAATCAGAGAATAAAATAAATAGGTTTTGGTGTTACCTTGTGGAATTTGATCAGAACTTGCTAAAACAAAAATTCACAACAAAAAGAATTTTTAACGTACCATTGTCACCTGATTTGCGAAATGTCAATGGTTGATCGTTGGCATCAGTAAAACTCTCATTGTGAGGAATACAGTTGGTGAAAATTGCCCGGTGACGTACATAATGAGCTTGAATGACCTGAATTTAAAAAAAATGTATGCTGTATATAGGCACTTTTAACTCTTTAATAAAGTGGGTCAAAGGACAACGTCAAGGATCACGAGGTCGGGAACCATGGCAATAATTACTGACAATTGCCGAAGTGCCAAGCAATAGATGTGCAAAATATTAAGTCCATATCTCTTAGTTTTTGAGATAATTAGTGTGACATCAGACGGACACACAGACAGCTAGACAGGCGCCAGGTAAAGTGATCCCTTAGTGCCTTCTGCTCCGCAGGCGAAACAAAAAAAAATTATACGGTTTGATTCAAATTGAACAATTGTAATATGTATGGAACTCACTTTTCAAATACCGCAAATTATACGTCTCAAAATTTTACTGATGATTTCAAGCAGTTTCCGTTTCTGAAATTGATGACACATTACATAGTTTAATGACTTTTATCCTCCCCTTTAAATGATTGAAGTGTACGGGTGTATCATGTACGTCTACGAAAGAAACAAACTTAGGATGAAAATATCCCTACAGAATTTAAACTCAAAACTCAAATATTGAAAGGGGAGGAAGAAAGTATTGGACAACTGATAACCAAAAAATATTTATTCTCGCATACACGCTAGCTTTTATGTTACCTTACTGTACCCAGGTTTCTAAAAAAAAAAAGAAGAAATGAAGTTGCACAGTTTCTCTTCTCAAAAACTTATTGACAAGGAAAGTGTTTGGTAAGATAAGGAATAGATTATTCAGTTTTATTCTTATTCTATTCGTTCTGAATACTATTTACATTCAAGTAATTCATACTAATTGTATGATATTATGTGGGGTTTTATCATTAAATGTAGTGTAAATTTTCCCCGTGTAATTCTGTGAGAATTAATTTATAGTGTATATTCATGTTGTGCAATTCTGTGGGATTTTAAAATTTGTTTATATTTTTGGTGTTTTCTGATCAGTGTATGCTTTTTCCTGTAGTGCACTTTAAATTCACGGGATTTTAAGTGTATAAGTGGTTTTTTTTTCCTGTGTAATTTTGTGAGATTGTTTATGAACTTACTATGTACCCGTTGTAATTATGTCGGATTATTTTGTAAATTTACATTTACCTGCTGTTCGTCAGGGTTATTTAAGGAATCACTGTCTAGTTAGGAGGGTATGTCAGGGCATCATGTTTCAATTTTTACTTGAAATAACAATCTTAAAATATATCGGAATACCGTCTCATTTAGTAGATTTGAAATGCACGAGGCATTTTATGTTCTTTTCTATTGCCCCGCCCCATGATGTCAAATTTTACTATAAAAAAAAAGTCCCATAACACACGAACCAAATTTAATTATTATTTAGTTACTGTAGCCAAATATCAACATTTATAGAATAAACAACTTACAAAAGAATTTTAAATTATGACCAAAACAATCTCGTTAACTTTAATTATATATATGTGACCTAGATTTAGGTTTTCGGAAGCACGAAAACGTGTATAGGCCCTAGGACACTTCTCCGCCGCCATATTGAATGCAATGTTACAGTTGATGAAACGTGAGTTGGTCAGCATGGTCAGGAAACAGATTTGTGTGAATGTTAAAATAACAGAGGAAGTTGAGTTGCATAAAAAGTCGGATGTTTATGTTTGAGGGACGATGTCTATATCAGATGGTGAAGTGCAGATCGATCTATGTGCATGTGGCGATGCCGATTTCTCCACGTGGTTCAGATGGGCTGGTTAACATGTTTACGGAAGTTGAGTTCACGGTCTCGCGAGTCCTCGGTGGTAGTGGACTTGGTGACTTGTTTTTGATCCGGAGATACATGTAATTCATTATTTATTTTGTTTGTAAAAATATATATTATATGTAATTACTATGTAAACAATTAAACAAAACAGCTATTTTTTCTTCAGTGTATTTATACGCCGGTCATGTACCATACGTATACATGCAGGTTGACATTTGACCTTTCAGTAGTATATCAATAGAGAAATTTACATGCCACAGGAATCACGGAAAATAAACAAGATTTACTTTTGCAGTGTTTATCATTGGGAAAACAATTGGAAATGGAAATATTATCAGATAAGTATATGTTTATATATGTATATGATCAGTTTACATTTACCCAATGCCCATTGTAATACTGCAATATATGCTAAGTATACAATTACATATTGAAATTCTATAAAATCTAAAAAATTTACATTTACCCATCGTAGCTTTGTGAGATAGGGTGGGTTTATTGTTCCACGTTGTAATTCCGTGGCATTCGGTAGATTTATTTTAACCTTATAGTTCTAAAGGATCTGATAGGTTTATATTTATTCATTCGAATTCTGTTAGATCTGACAAGTATACATCTGTATATTTACCCGATCTAATTCTGTGGGATTCGAAATATTTACATTTACCCTTTCTTATTCTGGGGGATTCGATAAGTGTATTTTTACCTGCTCTAATTCTGTGGAATTTGATATACATTTATTTATATTTCCTCTTTGTAATTCTGTGGGATCTAATAAGTGTATTTATGTTCTTACCCATTGTAATTCTGTGGGATTTAAGAAGTACATATATATTTGTACTTACCCGTAATAATTCTGAGGGATCTAATAAGTGTATGTATGTACTTACCCATTGTAATTTTGTGGGATCTAATAAGTGTATGTATGTACTTACCCATTGTAATTTTGTGGGATCTAATAAGTGTATGTATGTACATACCCATTCAATGTAATTATGAGGGATCTAATAAGTCTATGTATATACTTACCCGTTGTTATTCTGAGGGATTTAATAAGTCGATGTATGTACTTACCTGTTGTAATTCTGAGGGATCTAATAAGTCGATGTATGTACTTACCCGTTGTTATTCTGAGGGATTTAATAAGTCGATGTATGTACTTACCCGTTGTAATTCTGAGGGATCGTTCTTCAGTCTGATCAGCACGGAGATAGGTATCTTTTGCATTGCACTGTCACTGGGAATAAACAAGGTGGTAATATTTTCTGATGAGGAAATTTCATTTATGCTGTCCATCGTATAAAGGTAACTCATCAAATCGAGGAATATCCTGCAATTAAACGCAATATCTTTTCTTGTTAAACTGTTTACTGTATACAGGATTAATTTCACCCCGTGTTATTTTCGCCCATTCACCCTTGTAAGCAATTTTGCCCCGTTTTATAATCGCCCAGTCATTGCTCTGTTTAAGAAATTATACCGTATTCTTTGAATTCGCTTCGTTTTAAATTCAACCACCTGTGAGTACGATAAAAGGGGCGAAATTAAAACGGGGGCGAGAATTTCCTGGTATACAGTATTGGATTGTATATACTAGTCTTTTGTATGTTTTTTTGAAATAAAAAATTGATCATAAAGGTTTAAGTTACATACAAATTTATCATAATGACACATGTCAACAGCAAAATATTTTTTTAATGCAGCTCATATTGCATCAAGGTTAGAGAGAACACAGTTTTGAAAATTAAAATTAACCAACAATATTAATTATGTGTAAACAATTGTAAGAGGGGTAAATCTCATCTGGAAATTATTGAACTTTTGATTGAACAGGGCGTGTTTAAGATACATTGATACTCTGATAAGAGAGATAACTCTTAATGACACAAATGTCTATTATTCCCTTACAAATTTGCCAAATTGAAGTGCCTTTTTTGTCAATTTTTCCCCCGCAAGCCATGCTATAAATGTTTGTATTTTATCTAGCATATACATTTCCTTTGGAAATCATAAAAGTTAAAGAAAAATTTTATATGAGTGAACAGAGGGTTTATAAACCTTAATTGTTAAACTCTGCACACATCACTGAACACAGATTGACAATACTGGAGAGTTGGTTTAGCTTTCTAACAATTTTAAATTCTCTAGATGAAAGTTTCAAAATATCTCATTACTACACCACAAACAGTTTATAGAAAAATTTCGTACATGATTAAGAGCAGATGGTAAATTATTCAAATTGGCACAATTTTTGTTACATATATATTTGCTAAATATGATTCTTAAAAAGAATGCGTCATTTTCGATCGGAGTCTCGCGATATATGTTCAGAGGACCCTTATATAAATGGGCTAGCTTAGCCACAATTCAGTGTAATCAATCGTCACCAGGGAAGAGGGAGGTATGCTTTTCAGCACCCGGTAGCGACAAAAATAACTGTAACACTTCTTCTAATGCAGGAAAGTAAGAAACAAATAAAGCTTACAATAGTTGCACAGGTCAGTGCAGTTAAAAAAAACAAAGATAAACACCACTGCAATAAAATTAGAACAAAATTAATGCAAGAAGACCAGCACGAACACGGGGCGCTTTTCCATGCCATCCATGAAAATAAAAGTCAGTTGTAACGAATATAGAGTATACCCTGGTGCTGATATCAAAATGCCGTATGCCTATTTACGAGTCGTTTTCAGCTTCAAAACATCTCTCAATGTAATAAAAGTAATAATATTTTACAATGAAAATTTAAAATCATAATAATCAATATAAAATTAAAACTGTCTACATAACAAATTACACTGCAAGAGTAATATGCAGTAAACATAGTTACTTAAATTGCCGGGTAGTATCCTCGGGATCTTGGATCCACCTATAGACTGTCTTCTGAATCGTCTTCCGCATGATTCCATTTAGAGCATGAACAATCCCATTGGTGGCCGAGATGTCACGTGATCCCTCCGAAATCTCCACACCGTTGACATAATACTTAGTTTCATAAGTGAGTCCTGCTGTCTGAAGAAATGTAAAGACAGAACAGAAATAACTTTGCAAAAACCTTGCCTGACTAAAATACATGGGGAGGAGGGGTGTTAATTATTTCATTTAAGGTCATTATGAAGACGTTGACAGAAATATTAATTCATTCATTTTAAGTTGTTTGCTTATCATCAGAACAATAGCAAAATAAGACTTTACCTACCGTGTGTATTCTCTGGATGCGATTAAAATAAAGTCTGTCTCCATTGGAACTCATGCTTAGCTCGTACTGATTGTCCCTGAGAGAGGAGGTTGTAATGCGATTTCCATAGACTGAAAACCGCAACGATAGAGTCAACATAACCAGACATTGTTAAACATGTACTGATGATTCTGAATAGTGTTAGTATATACTAAATATATATGCATGTGAATAATGAAATCTTTTATTAAATCATTTCTCCTTTCCTGGAAGCATTTAATTATTGTTGTGAAGAAAAAAAAGATGACAATTATTACTGTTTCATTTCATGGTGCAATAAACAAAGTTTTTTGACTATCGATACTCATGATCTGTACTTGTATCTCTCAAATGTTTCAGATTTTCCTTGCACTTGTGTATACGCTGTACAGTATAACTGCGCTGATGGTAGGGGCTTTGATTAGGCTTGCAAATCGGAGAGGAATTTCCTCTTTGAACATTCCTTAAAACTTCAAAAGTGTATATCCTGATGTCATCTGCATACAACGCAATCATCTCATAAGTCCAGATCGATAGATCGGGGGCGCATATTTTTTGCCCAGTCTGTCTGTCCAGCTGTTAATTTGTCTGTCAATCGTCAACTTAAACCTTCGCCGTAACTTTTGACTCATGAGAAATACTTCATATTTGATATGCTGACTCCACTAATTAAGTTCTTTCAAATGACATCAAGGTCAATCTCCTTGTGACCTGAACTGCGACCGCAATACCTACCTGAACAAAATTTAAGGTAGTCTTGAAGCTCAGTAACATTGTAGTTATCTATCTCATTGCGTTCTGTGTACGGCAGCTGATAATAAGCTTTGTTAGTGAACGCAAACACAGTAAGCTTTGTCATGAACTAGCTGTGCAAACGTAATACCTACCTGAACAAAATTTAAGGTAGTCTTGAAGCTCAGTAACATTGTATTTATCTATCTCATTGCGTTCTGTGTACGGCAGCTGGTAATAAGCTTTGTCAGTGAACGTAAACACAGTCATGTTGGTCGAAACTTCAAAAAACTCTGTTAGTTCCGCCCTATGAACTAGCTGTGCAAACTGCAAATTTAAATATTCTGTTGATAAATACAAAAGAACGCGATCTTTGCATGCTACATGTATTTTAATTATGTTGAATACAAGGAGTATTCTTATAGTGAACCCTGAAAAAAGTTTTGATGTTTGTTTTTTTCCTGCAAAAGTGATGGCTACTAAAACCAGAAGTCTCTGTCGAGACTAAAGCTCTACTGGTTTGTACTTATAATAAAGAAAGAAAAAGTATCAGTTGGGATATAAAACTTTACAAAAGCAATAAATAGAATAATGACAAAAACCGATATACAGAATTATGTATCTTAGTGTTGTCTACTTGTGTGCCAAGTTATATTGAAATCAGAACAAAGCTGAAGGAGGAGTAGCATTTTAAATGTATTTCAAAGAAATTTCTATTTTAAATAACTACAGCAACACCGTTAATTGAAACAAAAACCTATATACAGAATTATGTATCTTAGTGTAGTCTACTTGTGTGCCAAGTTATATTGAAATCAGATTTAAACTGTAGGAGGAGTAGCATTCTGAATGTTTTTCAAAGAATTTTCTATTTTTAGTAACAACGGCAAAACCGTTCTTTGAAATCAAAAACCAATATACAGAATTATGTATCTTAGTGTAGTCTACTTGTGTGCCAAGTTATAATAAAATCAGACCAAAACTGTAGGAGGAGTAGCATTTTGAAAGTATTTTTTTTTATAAATTCTATTTTTAGTAACAATGACAGCACCGTTCATCGAAATCAAAAACCGCTTTACAGAATTATGTATCTTTGTGTAGTCTACTTGTGTGCCAAGATATACTGAAATCAGATTTAAACTGTAGGAGGAGTAGCATTTTGAATGATTTTCACAATTTTTTCTATTTTTAGTAACAACAGCAACACCGTTCATTGAAATCAAAAACCTATACATAGAATTATGTATCTTTGTGTAGTCTACTTGTGTGCCAAGTTATATTGAAATCAGATTAAAACTGTAGGAGGAGAAGCATTTTGAATGATTTTCAAAATTTTTTCTATTTTTAGTAACAACGGCAACACCGTTCATTGAAATCAAAAACCGATACACAGAATTATGTATCTTAGTATAGTCTACTTGTGTGTAAAGTTATATTGAAATCTGACCAAAACTGTAGGAGGAGTAGCATTTTGAATGATTTTCATTAAAAAATTCTATTTTTAGTAACAACAGCAACACCGTTCATTGAAATCAAAAACCGATACACAGAATTATGTATCATAGTGTAGTCTACTTGTGTGCCAAGTTATATTGAAATCAGACCAAAACTGTAGGAGGAGTAGCATTTTGAAAAATTGTTTACAGACGGACAGACAGACAGACGGACAGACGACGGACGCATTACTATCGCATAAGCTCTTCTGGTCTCTGACCAGTAGAGCTAAAAACGTTGGTTCTTGGTCTCGTTGGTCAAAAGCTATTCAAAAAAATGTTATTTAAAATAACTTTTCAAAAACAAAGGATGTCAAATATAAATTCCGTAAAATTTTGAATGTTTTTTTTTAAATGAGCAAGTGTTTGAATTTAATGACTCTTTCACTCAATTCAACGTATGATACAGTCTGTTTTTTTATCTTATATTTTCGGTACAATACGTCCACATGATAAATAATACTAGTGCATGTCTTGCTTATGCTAAATTTTAGCTGCTGTTTATTAAAATTAATTGCTGTTAAAATATGACATTTGTTACCTGACCACTTATATACTATTGTACTTTGACGATCTAAAATTTCGTTCATCATGTCATGTCCATAACATTTTTTTTCGACAATGCAATTTTTCTAAAAAGTCAATTTAACACAATTATTGAAAATCTACAAATAATACCCCTATTGACTTAAGAGGCAGTCCACCGAAACGTCGCATGTCATGGATTTTAATTATTTTTTGCATGTAGACTTATTAAAACAAGTTTTTACACATGACATCAAAAAATTTTTTAGTGCTCTTCTAGTCCTATTTTTGGTAAATGCTTAAATTTAAGTGCAAAAAGGTCAACATGAGGGTAAAAAAAATGCTAAGTTTTTATTTTGTTTTATGTGAAACAGATACTCAAAAGCTGGATGTGTCGATGTGTAAAAAAAATTGTACATGCATTATGCAACAAATGAGAGCAGGCAGTTTTAAATCTAACTTTATTATTTATCTTATTTCCAAGTAAAATTTCTATTTTTTTTTCAGGAACTAAAGAGTTAAATTCTATCAGTGGCGAAATTAAACTTGCCTAAATACAGAAAATATATTTATGTGTTCAGTCTCGACTTTATCTATTTTATTTTACCTGTCATCTGTAAAGCCTTTTCCCCTATACTTTCTTCTTTTACAAAATTTAATTTTATGTAAATAAGAATACAAGTTCTTTCATTTATATATAGTATCATTATTTAAGAGTCCATTAATCGCCAGCAAAAAGCAACGGGTGGGGGGGGGGGGGATCACGACATCATATTTTTAGAAACTGGTTTCATGAACGTGAAAACTTTTTAAAATTGGCCAACATAGTAACATGTTTTAACTCCATATTAAATGTGAGCTGTGTGATTGTCTCAATCGCCAAATTATTAAAAAATAAAACCCCGAAATGTTTCAGAAGTGGGGAGTTCAGCAGTAATTTAACTCAATAAATATATTTTTATAACTTATTTTTCAACGTTTTTTTCCCGTTTTTAATGGATTGTTTATTTTGATTTGACTGCACAGATAAATATATTCAGTTTTTACAAATACATGTATCTAATCATGACGTAAACATCTCAACTTCGTTGAAGTAAATGTTGCGTAAATATAAAACTTTATTCAATGATTCCTGAATTAAATGTTGCGTAAATCTAAAACAAGCATCATTGATTCCTGGATAATCAGAAGAAAATAAAATTTCTTCACATCCCAATTTTATAAGAAATGTCCATTATAAACACTTCATTAATTATTTTAACACATATCCTAGTAAATCAGTTAAAAAAATAGTTCTGAGACATGTATAAAATTACTTATCAAAACGGACTTGTTTTAATACATCTAGCTGAGACTCTGTCCATGTATACAATACATTTTGATGTAAAAATATTATTTAACATTTAGAATAATGCACTCTGAAGAGTAATTAAACAGAAAAAGAGAAATAAGTTTTTTAAATCTTTTTATTTACACTTTTACGCAAAAAAATTACAAACTATTTCACTGTGACGCAATATAAGTCAGGTATATGACGTCACTGATACATCAATGGAAACGTGGATTCAACCTGAATAATAGAGTCAGATTTAATCTAAATTTTAAATTTGGAGGCGAAAATGAATAATACATTGAAAATAAATTAGTTATTTTTTGTTTAATAATTTTCTTTAGTGTATCGATTCTAAATATTTCACTAGGATTCCGATAAAAAGGTGTTTAGCAGATTTACCGATGCCACGGGAGATAACTCTTGCATTGCAAAATTTCATAAAAACGTCTATATATTTTGCCAGAAAACTACTATCAAAAGTGTTTTTCCTACCGATTTTATTTTTTTAAATAAACAGATAAAATATTTCTAGATTTAGTTAAGTGTGAATTATAGTCCTGTTAAAAATGTATTAGAAATTACAGTTCTTTGTTTCTGACCTAAATTCAATGGTTTATATTGGGGAATTCAAAAACACAAAACACAAGAATATTTTACTAAATAAGCAATTTTCAAACAAATCTTCAATTACAGTATTCCTTTTGGACTACATTGATATTGTTTTTAATAAACATAGGTAATCAGAGATTACAGAGCTCACCTCAACGAATGTTGTCTTTCAGTAAGGCAAAGTCACACAATTAACCAACAGAAAGTATACATTCCAAAAATGAAAAATTTAAGCAATTTTGATCTGATACTTTGAAATAGACCTTCATAAAAAATTTAAACTAGTTCTTCTTCATGAAAATATAATGAAAATCCAGCATCTGAAGCAAATTTGAGAGTTTTCATCTCTTGATGCAGCATTTGTGCAAGTTTGGTTTATACAATGTTATATAAGCCTTATAGTTTTTGGAAATAGACCTGCAACCATAACTTTTACCTTGTCTATTATCTGAAAAATGTATGTCGAATTCAGCATCCGAAGCAAGTCAATTAGTGTGCATCCTTAGATGTATCATCCATGCAAGTTTGCTCATTATAGGGCTCATAGTTTATTGGAAATGAAACATGCATCAAAAACTAACATTTTCACTCATCCACAAAAAGTAGGTCAGATTCAGCATCCGAAGCAAGCCTGGTAGTATGCATCCTTAGATGTATCATCTATGCAAGATTGGTCATTAAAGAACTCATACTTCCTTGGAAATGAAACCTGCACCAAAAACTTTTACCTGTTCACTCAACCGGAAAATGCAGGTCAGATTCAGCATCCGAATCAAGCCTGGTAGTGTGCATCCTTAGATGTATCAACCATGCAAGTTTGGTCAACATAGGGCTTAAAGTTACTTGCAAATGAAACCTGCACAAAAAACATTAACCTGTTAGCTCAACTGGAAAATGTAGGTCAGATTCAGCATCCGTAGCAAGCCCGGTAGTATGCATATTTAGATGTATCATCCATGCAAGTTTGGTCAACATAGGGCTTATATTTACTTGGAAATGAAACCTTCACCAAAAACTTTAACCTGTTCACTCAACCGGAAAATGTAGGTCAGATTCAGCATCCGAAGCAAGCCCGGTAGTATGCATCCTTAGATGTATCATCCATGCAAGTTTGGTCAACATAGGGCTTATAGTTACTTGGAAATGAAACCTGCACCAAAAACTTTA